ATTATTTCAGGGCTACACTTAGGAAACAGATAAATGCCAGAGAAAAGTACCTCAAATTTCAGTTCTCTTCAGGTTGCTAAATATTTATAGGAAGGTCCTGGTGTTCTAGCATGCCAAGCAAGTTACTTGTTTTTAAAACTTATATGAGTCAGTTAACTATTAGGAAGCTAGAATGTTAACATGAGGCCAAATCACTAAAGAGAGTAAAAGAGAACAAAAATCACATCTGCGAGAAAAGTTCAGCAACTGGGCAACTCTTCTAGAATGGTGGGTCACTAAGAAGCTTCTAGTTAGCTTCAAGCTCTTCTCTCTTCTTTCCCAGAGTAGGACTTTAAGAAAATATACTGACTTTTGGGGAGTTTAATCACCTAGCAAATTGTAGCTCTTTCAGCAATAATCCATATACAAATATAGGACAAATTAAGCAAAAATTGAACTTCATATCAGTTCTAAAGGAGAATTTCCTCCCCTTTCCTAAGCACAAGACCCAGCCTTAAACCCAATCACTATGGCTCTCATTGATTAGCCAACAAAAGGTCCCAGGGCCAAGACCCACTTGGTCATAGTTTGGGCCCAGATTGGCTCAGAGTGAATATGAATAGCAAGTGTTTCTATTTTGGCCAGAAACCCTGAGGGTCCTTCCCCTCCCAGATGGATTTTTTCTTCTTTTTTTTTTTTTAACTAGGAGGCCATTCTCTGCCTTATTTCTTACCTAGCCTTTAATCACTGAATTGGCATTGCCTCAGTCAAAATGAAACCTGTTAAAGACCTTAGCTTTTAGGGCAAGATCTCCCACCGCATCAAGAACCATCCCTAGTCATCCTGATGTACATTTCACCACTGAACCCAAAAGGCTCTGGAGGAGAAAGTGAGGCTCATAACTGTGTAAAGTCCTCCCTCACTTAAATCCAAATCATTTGTATGTCATGGCATCACCTCCCTGATGTCATGGTCCTCTTCAAGAATGAAGGACAAAACAACAATGATAGCATGAGACAAAAATATTATTTTAAATAGGCAAACGTTTTTAATGTTATTCTAAGTCCCCAAAGTGGCACCCAACTTTGCCAGTCTGCTCTGATGTCCGCAGTAATCCATTTTTTCAAAATGACTTATATCCCACCTCCTGTATTTCCCTCCCTATACAGTCCTGCTCCCTCCCCACACAGTCTCAGTGTAGGTGATCTTAGTGTTTGGATAAAAGGAATCTGATTCAACTAATCTGTTCTCCACCACTAACTATCTGGGCTTCAATTTTCTTATCTATAAGATAACGAGGTTTGATTAGATCAAAGGATTACAGGATCCTGTACTTGGAGCTACAAGGAACCCTTCTGAAATTAGAATCACAGTAAAGCACTATATTCTAATTCATACTCATGGATGCACATTACTGTAGAGTAAATGACTAATACTCCCTTAACCTTCTTAAAGATAGAATTTCTGGACATTCAATGAATTGAAATTTTTTAAAAATTCAGACAATATTGGGCAAGCCATTTTTATGCAGGAAATCATTTGGTACTTAGAATTACACTGCAAATCCCACTTAATTACAGTGCCTTCCCTCTATTAATTATTTCCCATTTATCCTGTAAATAGCTTGTTAGACCATAGTTGTTTGTTGTCTCCTCCATTAGATTGTGAGCTCCTGGAAAGTAAGGACTATCTTTTGCCTTTCTTAGTATCCACAGTGCTTAGTACAGTGCCTGGCACATAGCAGGCACTTAAATGCTTACTGACTGACTGAATGCCTAGAATCAGACCACTTAAGCCATTCCTCCTCTTCTGGCATCTCCCTTTCCTCTACTGTTGAACCCATGAATTCTCTAAAAGCTTTAAGTATTTTTCAATAATGACTCCCACATCGAGTACCAGGAGCTCTGGTAATATAGGAAGAAGGGAAAGACAGATTTATGAGTTGCCACTAAGATATGTGTAAGTCAGGGACGTCTCACATATGGTCAAACAAACAATAAATAATAATTAAGTACTAGGAACTGGGGAGTCAAAGAAAAAACCAAAATAGTGCTTGCTCATTAGAAGCCCACACTTACACACAAACACACACATATATATTAGGAGACCACACAGGAATGCCTATATAGAGGCACATACAAAATGAGTAAAAAATGAAAGATCAAGAAAGGCTTCATAAAAAGTTGACATTTAAGTTGAGGTTTTAGTCAGAGGGACAGTGGGGTACAACAGGAAACAAAGGGCTATATATGAGGAACACTGAGAAGATATGCTGCAGGATGTGGTATACCTGGTATGTATGTAATAAGGATGGAAAAAAATGGGTTAGAACCAAGTAGTCAAGGGCTTTAGATGCCAAAGATTTCTACTTGATCCTAGAGGTAACAGGAAGGCAGTGATAATTACTGAGTAAAGGAGTGACATGGTCAGACCTGTACTTAACTACTCAAATGGATCTGTGATCTTACTGATTCCAGAGCTCCATGGTAGAGTTCCCTACTATGATGTAGATCACAGTCCATCCCATAAGTGCTCCTTCTGTGCACCTCTGGTCCACATCCTCCCAAAAGCTGTCACCAGTTCATCTTCTCTTTACACTATACAACTTTCTGATAACATCCTTTACTTCTCATCTTCGGAATTGTTTGCTGATTATATTCTGCAGTTCAAACTCTCTATTTACCTTTCCACTGCCTTTGTGTCATGTTCCTCTTTAATTCTTCAAATGCAACGGTGTTCAGTCTTTCTGTCACACAGAAACACATGTACTGAAATAACACATGTACTAAGATGATAGACCTTTGCTGTCGTGGGAAGCTTTGGAGTCAGTATAAGTGTTTTACGCTTTTCCCAAAGACACTTTAGCTTTTCTCTTCCTCCTTTTCAAATCTGGGCTCAGCTCACACAGATACAGTTGGATAAGCTCTGTAGGATGTCTATTCAGATAGACGTTAAAATCTGAGCAATAGACATTATTCATCCATTTGATCTTTCCTATGTGAAAGATCAATCCAATAAATCCAATAAACATTTATTAAGCACCTCCTACATGCCAAGCACTGTGCTAACCACTGGAGATACAATTAATAAAAGGAAAAATAGTCCCTCCCCTCAAGGAGTTTACAATCTAAAGGGTGAGACAACACACACAAAGAGACCAGAAAGTGGGGCTAGTAGGAATGGGGGTGGGGGGGTGAACAGATGGGACACCAGAGGTGCAGAGGTATCATGTTCTGTGGAGTTGAAAACCAGGCTGGTCAGCAGATGCAAAAAGTAATCAAGTTCTTTTCAAAAATCACTTTGGTTGCTGTGTAAAGGGTAGATTAGAATGGAGAAAAATGAATAAGGGAGCCTATAATTATGAGGCTATTCCAATAGTCCTGGCAAAAAGTACCTGCCTTCAATCAATCAATCAATCAATCAATATTTATTAAGTACCCATGATGAACCAGACACTGTGCTTCATTAGTGTAGTGGCTGTTTGACTGGAGTAAAGGGCATAGATTCAAAAGATGCAGCAGGGGTAGAAATGATAAAACTATTCCTACAAGCAGGGATGAGGGCTAAAAGGAAAAGGATAATGTGTTCCCCAAGTAAGACAAACAAGATAATATTTCAGAGTGGAGCTAAAGAGTAAGATTTCAATTTCAGAATCCAAATAACAGAAGAAAATAACATATCTATACAATTGGAGCAAAATATTGGATAATGAAGAAATTTAACATACTGAAAAATAAAATTTATGACATCTACTTATTATCACTGGAAGAAACTGAGATACATATAATTTACATGTGCTATGACACCATGGAACTTCATGCAGACAAATTGCATGTACCTCAAGAAAAAGAATATTAAGATTCTCATACAGCAATAGATGCAAATATTTCCAGTCATGTTGGGGGTAGGTAGAAATTATTACTAAGTTATTCAATTTTTTTTAAAAAAACAGAGAAATTAAGTTTAGCTAAAAATATTTAATGAGCCACAGACGAATCATCCATAAGATACTTTGCCTCTTCCACTCACTGCTGGCCAATCTTGCCATTAACTCTAAAATGGGATCTCAGACTACAGCATATCTTCAACAGAACAGAAAGTTTTATGTGACAATAAGTGCCAATAACAATAAATTCCCATCTTGTGTCTATTTCTGCATTAGATATAATTCATTTTTTTAACTTTCAAATGCAACAATCCTAGCATAAGTCCACATATTAGGGAGAGGAAAAGGAAGGAGAGAATACATTATTCTTGAGTTGAAATGAAATAAAGCTGTTAATATCATCTTGCTTTTCAGCTAACACTCAGAAAAGTGTCCTGACTGCTTCCACAGAGCAATCAAACAGAAAGACCAACTAGCTAAGAGAACAGCAGCTAGGAAGTCTTCCAACAAGTAACACTGTGGAAAAAGCAAATATATAGTGTGTAACAGGTGATTAACACCTTGTTTGTTGTGTGTGTGCATATTACTGAAATACCTTATCTGTACACATGAGAATAAGGGAGTGTGTTTAATAAATTATAATACACAAAGAACTTATGAATTTTCTTAGAGTAACAATCTTTATCCAACTACAAGACCGATAAACATTTACGGCATGTTCATAAATGTTAACAGAAAGAAAATTGTTCACTATTGAATGATAATTCCCAAACTTTATAGTTCTCCCCAAAATCTACCAGTCCTTACTTTCTAATGAGTATTAACTAGAACGCAAATTCCAGTATTACCAATATGCTAAATTCACAAGTAAATAATAATTTTATAAATGTTACTGAAATAGACATTTTATCATTTCCCCAAAAGAAAACACCTTCTTCTGTTATACTCTACCAGAGTTGTAGATCCCAGAAAGAATGATCAGTCCCCAGCAATAAAGATAACCTACTATTATTTGAGAGGTATGACCTAAAGACTTCCAAAATGATTTCCTCCCACTATTCCAGTTAAAGAGAGGAAAGTGAAGTCTAACACTAACCCCTACTCCAATTAACGTAACTAACAAGATGAACCATACCTTAATACTTTCATCAGGTACAAAAAAAGCTCTTTCATGGAGTTACATAATCAACCAAATCTGTAAACTAGGTGTGAACAATTTCTAGGTACCCGTACTAAAGCAGCGATCAAAGGTGTAAGCACAGGAAATGTACTAAGATTGACTGAAAAACAAACCAAAACAAAACAGGTATATCTCTTAGCCTAGTAAGTATAAGGAGATTATAGGAAAAAATTCTGAACCCTATAAAGATCTGGACTATCATAACCTATAAGAGGTATGGGGAAATCCTAGAATTTCTTATCCTTCTTGTCCCCCACCCCTCAGCATGGACCATGGTATCAGAGGGATGTATCAGTTACAAACAATGCATCCAGCTAGAAACTGAAAGAGATCAAACTAGACAAATGAAGAAGAACTCCATAAGTCTTCCACAAAAGAAGAAAGGAAATTCTAATCAACTAGGAGCTATCAGTTATATCTTTGCCACATGTGCTCTCTAAACTTGTCTTCTTTGGCATCTATGTATATTTGCTTTCCCAGATTCTTGGGGGAAGATTTTGTACTTTGGTCCTTGTTATACACCTTCTTGGTAAATATCCCTTGATAAAAGCTAATTGATTAGTTAAATGATCTTAGAGAGATATCAGCTTGGCAAATAATATTACAAAACACACCAGACTGGAGTTCATGAGCAAGATTACTAGAAATCCTCCCCCACTCCAAGATTATTCTAAGGGAAAAGGTAGTCAGCAACCTCACAAATTGTGAGAGTGAGTACAGATCCTATGCTACATTAGCATAGTACTTAGTATGACATTAAAAATTCATATGGAAAAAACAAAAGTTTGATTTCCAGCAATCAGATAGAAATACAGCTATCTCGGGGAAACATAACAAATTAAATTATCATTTATTAATAGTTAATTCTTCATCAGATCTAGTCATCCCTAAAGGTCTAGTCTAACATACAGGTCATTTAAATTCTGGGAGAGACATACTTAGCATAGAAAGGTCCAACACAGGGAGGTATGAAAGGTAACTCCAATAAAATGTGTTTTACATACGAACTATGATGTAAGGTCACTAGGCCCACCTAGGGCTACAGAACACTTGAATGGAGGGGCAAAAGTCTTAAAAAGAGAAGCAGTAGGATGATAAAAAAAAATCTTCTTTATAATTTTACATAAATCCAGACTTCACTAACAAATAAAAACATCTCTTCTAAAGATTAAGTTAAATATGTCACACAAATACGAATTATTTTTCAAATGTATGCAAGTACTGCTATGATTAATAAAATTATTGAACCCATAGTAACTTTTTATGATTATGTATTTTCTCACTCAATATGTAATAATACTATACCTACTAGCATGTATGTGTCTGAGAAGTTTTGACATCCAAAATAGGGTCATTTGACTTGTAAGACAGTGGTATAAATTGTTTTCAGAAGCAATGCCCTCCCACAACCTCAAAACCTGAAAGAAACACCCCAAATGTATAGTAATCAAAGTTGCAACATAAAGAAAAGATAACAAATATTATGCTCTTAAGGAAAGTGAATGGAAAACTCCCAAATTCAAATAAATGCTGCAAGTTTGCCAGAAATTATAGGTCAGCAACAAGAACTACTGGAAAGTTCAAAAAAATTTTTCAGAGAAATTAGGATGTCAATTATGACAGAAATCACAGCACCTCAAGAAGAAATGAACAAGTCAAAGAATTCAGTAGATAACTTAGGAAAAAAATGAAGAATTTCTCTAAAAGAAAAAGACAAATTTGAAACTAAAAAAAAACAAAACACAAGAAAATCTAACAGTATAGAAACAAAAGACAGTAAATTTGGAAGTGAAATAAATGACTTACCTTGATGACAGAATGTCCAAAGACAATTTAAATAATGTATATCACCCAGAAAAAAAATCTGATGAATTAAAAAGCCCAAATGCCATGCTGCAATATATAATAATAAAAGTGCCTACTACTTTTACAAATAGAGAAAAATGTACTTATCAACAGACTCCATGGATCATATACTAAAAATCTGCAAACTTAAAGCCCCAAAGCATGTGTGATTTAAATTTCAGAATTTCAGTTTCTACTAACCCAGAGCTATTTTTTGTATATAAGAAATCAAAGAGACAGTAATAAATATTCAAAATAAAATATTCAAAACATATCTCTAAACAACATACTAAGAGATACTAAGAGAGCAGGACTAATCAACATGTAGGAGACTAATAATCAAAGACAAAAAAAAAAAAGATGGCCTTTCAGTAAAAGGGGAGGTTGAGGCACCATTCTATAACATGTATGCCCTTACTCTTCCTGAGACAGCAAGGAATATTTTCCTAGAGTAGACTGAGGAGTTACAAGTGCAAGCCCCTAGCTGTTATGTCATAACCACTACCACTGTTAGCTCCCAGTCACCCTTAATCACCAACACCCTTGTTTCATTAAATCACTTAATATCTATAGATACTAGAAAGGCTTTTGTCAAAATCCAGCACTCATATTCATTAAAAACTTTAGAAACAAAAGGAATGAATGGACTTTTCCTTAACACAGTAAATAATACCTATCAGAATCCAAGAGTCAACATTATATGTGATGGAGAAGACATAGAGGACTTCAAATAAGATCAGGGGTAAAGCAAGAATACTCAGTATCACCACTACTATTTAACAATATTAGAAGTGTTCAATGTAGCAGTAAGAAAGAAATTCATGTGACTAAGTTTCAGCAAAGAGGAAATAAAATGTTCACATTTTCCAGATATGATGCTTTCTTAGAGAATGCTAAAAAGCGAACTAAAAAGTTAAATAATAACATCAACAAAGTTGCAGGATATAAAACAAATCATCTGCATCCCAGCACATTACCAACAAAACCCAGCAGAAAGACCTAAAAAGACAAATTCCGTTCAGAATAAATACCAAAGCTATAAAATACTTGGGAGAGCATCTACCAAGATTCATCTAAAAATTAAATTTATCAAACTATAAACACTCTTTGTAGAAATAAAGACATATCTAAATAATTGAAAAAATTAATTGCTCACAGGTAGGTCAATGCAATACAACAAAAATGACAACACTACCTAAATTCATTCAGTTCTATACCAATCAAATTATCAAAGAAATATTTTACAGAGCTAAGGGGAAAAAATAAAATTCATGCAGAAAAACAAAAGGTCAAGAATCTTAAGAGTAATGATGAAAAAAATTGGTAAGCAAAGGGAAAGTTCTTCAAAACCAGATCTCAAACTACTTCAAGTCAGTGTCATTAAAATGAGGTGGAAGTACTTCAATACGCAGAAACAAACAAACAAGGAAGTATGACCGTTCTATATACACAAAGAAGTGGGGGAGCAAATATTTATAAAGAAGAAAATCATTCTAATGAGAAAGGGCCAGAGAAAGATACACTCCCATCTAGCTAAAATATGAGTAGATAAGGGACAATAAGTTCATTAGTCTCCCACGAGGGTGACTGTGGCAAAGTAAATTAAAAAGAATACAGGGAGGGACCAAGAATTAATGAATCAATAAGCCCTTATTAATAACCTGCTACAAATCAGGCATTATGCTAGATGCTGGGAATATAAATTCCTAAGTGAGGAAATCCCTGACCTAAATGAGCTTTTATTCTACTCTGGGTATAGGAAAGCAACACGTTCACAGATAAGTACAAAATAAATTCAAAAGACTTGTTGTTGTTGTTGTTGTTGTTGTTGTTTCCAGAGGCAAGAACCACTGATAGAATCAACAAAGGTTTCTTTAAGGAGGTGGCACCTGAGTTCAGTCTTGAAGGGAGCCAGGAATTTCAAGAGATAGAACATTCTGGTCATAAGGGAAAGCTGGTTTAAAAACAGCAAGATTTGAAAAGGAAAGTTACATATAGGAAACAAGCAGATCAATTTGTCTGGGAGGACAGTACATGAGAAGAGAGAGAATAATATATAATCAACCTAGAAAGTAAGCGAAAGTCAAATTATAACGTGCTTTAAATGCCAAGAGAGAGTTGTATATTTTATCCTAGGGGCAGAGGAAGCTACAAAAACTTTTGTAGCAGGGACGTAAGATGATCAGGTCTGTGATTTAGGAATATCAATTTAGCAGCTGTGAGGGAAACAGATTAGAGAGGGAAGGGGCTAAATGCAAAAGAAGAAAATGTGGAAGGTTATTCTCATACTAGAAAAAGGTTATGAAGCATGTTTTCACAGAGTGGGAGCATTTAAAGGACTTCATAATAGATTTTGTTTCTTGGGAACAGGTATCTTAGGAGATGATATTCTCTAAATGAAGCTGGGCTTACCAGTACTGTATCCAATGTCAAGAAAGGGGGGCAGAGGCCTTAGTTTGGGCAGGACCTAAGTTGGATGGGAGACAAAGACATAAAAATAGGCTAAATCAACTAAACAAGGTTTGAGTGAAAGTAGGCAGAACCAAGATTCATGACTCAGGAGACAGTGTGATTCCCAGAGCACACCATGTTCCTTTCTTCATGACTTGATATTTCTAGAAGTGGAATAGCTCAATAAAATAAAACAGATACCCAAAGTAGTAAGACAGAATGTAAACTGGAAAACAGGAACAGAGGCAATATGCAGCAGTGAAATTACACAACAAATGTGTAGTAATTCCACTCATTAGGGTTGTGTGACTCCCCCAATCAACAAGTATTTATTAAGCACTTACTATGTGTCCTCTTCCTGAGTTCAAATCTAGCCACCCTCCTTAAATTTTAGAGGTTCCAAGAGAATCCATCCAATTCCGAGGGAGAGGACACGGGTATGGGGGAGACTTCCAAAATGTGAATTCCAGGGCTGACGTGGGATTTCAAGATGAAGGATGAGGTATGGTAGAGGAAGTAAAAGTTACAGCCTGGAGAATAATGCCATCAGAATTCAGCAGCATGGGCATGGGAACAGAGGAAGCAGATGGTGAAAGTAATTCAGGATTAAGACTGAGAAAGGGAAGAGCAGGAATAGGACAAAGAGATAAGTAAATCAAGGGTAGAAGGGCAATGTAAAGTTGATCTGGTTAACTACCAGGTAAAGAT